CGTATTTGAGTGAATGCGAGACCATCTCTTTGACATAAATGTAACACAAACGGTATGCCGGTATGCCGATCGTAATACGGCTAGAATGGTATCTCGGAGATAGAAGAGAGTTATTGGGTTAGGGAAAGGGGAGAAGCTTGCCTCGTCATCACGAAGCAATTCCCGAAATCCCGAGTCCCTTGTCGAACCTCCCCCCTCCCCCCCCGGTTTCCTCTCTCGGCGAGCAGAGTCAATTAGAGGTTCGACTGGAGATTTTCAATCTCCAGTCAAGGTTACGTCGCTATGTAAGTGGAATGTGCGGAACAGGTGGAGGGGGTCTGGAGCTTTGTAACAAAAACAGTGGATTGTAAATCAAACCCCTTTCCGACAGAGGCGTTCGTCTCTAATGCGCATTCCTAATGGCTCATCTGCGTCTCTTCCGTTATGTGTGGGCACGCTTCAAGGATCTAAATAAATTACCATTACGCTACTTCGTATAGTTCCCCGACTGAAGACTTTGCGCGGCACACACGCGGAATTAATCGCTTGGCGCAGAGGAGAAATTTTGCGTCAATAATTCAAGGATAACGTATAGCCTCAGTATTTGTCTAATACACCAGCTGACCAATAATTTCCAATAAGCACCCTTTCACACAAGATATATTACGCATCATTGTAATTTATACGTTATAGAATATCTTCTTCTGCAATCTCAGAAAATTTCTCCGCTGTTTAAATAAACATTCGAACCAAGATATATTCGTGTGGTCATTAAAGAGATTGTGCAGATCTTTAATTTTTCAGTGCCCTCCGCATTTCGCAAGTCACATTATAAAATAATCTCATAAAATAATATGATAATTAGACGAACGACGAAGGACGGAAGGCGGAAATAAATTTGCATTAATAACGCGTCGCGCGATTGTTATCGACATTTTGTCCGGGAACGTTTCCGACGGAAGAATTTAAATGACCAATCCACCGTGTTTGTCGATCAATCGCAGCACGACGCAATTACGATAAGCCCACTCCTTATCGCACGCAATCTCGCGACACGCGCAATTACGGAGGGCTATTAATTTCTTACTAATCTCCCTTGAGCGCGCGAGGTGTATCGAATATAATTTTCCCGGTGAAGCCCATGTCGCGTATAAGAAGCGGATTAAATTGTACGGGTGTGCACCCGACGACCAATTACCCTTATCGAATTCCAGGAGTGGGAAGAGCCGCGCGCCTCACGTTTCTTTTTTGCCCGTCGGGTTTATCGACCCGCGTGCGTAGATACGGCGAGCGGAATCATAACGGACGGTCGGCGGCGATTTATCCGCGGAAGATTATGATTCCGCCGGTAGGAAGAAACGCGCGTGTGTGTTACCGTTTCGCGCTTACGATAATCGTTCCCGTATTTCCCGTATCGGGCAAGATCAGCGGCGATCTTTATGGGCGCACGAGCGCGCCGTCGTAATTGGGAAGGAACGAAGGAACGCGCTATCAAAGGCGTTCACCAAAATGACGAGGGGGGGTGGGGGAGAGCGAGAGTGAATCGACGGGGGAGGCGATCTCCCGATCCCGGCGCGACTTCGGGATCCCCCTTCGTGAGCTCCCTTCGATTTCTAATCTGGCCGGCGTAATGTCGCCTGTAATTAATACAAGTTGTAATCCCGCGGCGGTATTCCGGTTTTGCACCGGATAAGATATTAGTTGCGCGGTAGTTGCGCGCCACTCGCAACGGCTTGCACGTAGATAGGGATCGGCATTAGATAGGCGGGCTAGTCTTCTCGGTATCTGCCTCACCACTCCCCCCCCCCTCACCCCGGCCTTCTCCCATCCTCTCCATTTCCTGTTACAGTTAATGGAAATTCAGAAGCGTATGTTTCCTAATCTGAGCAATTTTGCCGTTCAAATAGGCTCCTTCGTTGGCTGTTGCAAGCCTAATGGTCAAGCGTGTGCGCACACCCGCGCGATCCCGCACGTATTAAAGATGGATATACGCGATGAGGAATCTTCGGAAATGAGCCATTCCTGCTCACCGTCCGTTCATTCTCTCTAAATTGATGATAAAACATTCGTTTTCGGGATGTTCGATGTTAATGCGCAAAAAGATACGGATCGGTGTGTACGACGGAATGCACGCGGAATGCGAGATATTCCTATAAACAGTGAACGGTGGTTGCTGTTCGATATAATTTAGTGTGAGCTCGTCTTGATGCTCGCGTGAGCGCACGTGCGCGTAGCGCGCGTGGCCCACGGAATTAAATAAAGTTTACGCGTGGTCGACGATGACGTAAACATTACCGCTCGGAATGCTCGTTTCCGGCTGGTCGTTTCTCGGCTAAAAAAAAATCTCCAAGTGCGATTCTCGCGCGTAAAAACTAAACGCATTCGGCGGCCGAGGCCGATTCCTCGACGGGCATAAATATGGATGGGTTGTGCTTGATTATAATTCAATTAGTGCCTTTTCGAGCTGCACTTAACAGCGAGTGAGTTTTAATTTCTTTCTTAATTAGCTATCCCACAGTAGCGGATGTCATAAACAATGTAGTTTTAACGAGGGACTCCTTAGATTATAGGGATTAATGAAATTGCTAATAAAATTGCACGATTCCTTGAATCGAGTATCATTATTCGAGGATCATCAAATTCTATCGATATGTCGGGCTACCATTCCGTATAATGAATCGGAATATGATTATGTATCGGATATTAACTCTTCGAAATAATGCGACTTCCATCCGTAATCGTTTCCCACGCATCCAAACGTGATATTAAGAAAAGTTTTTTTCTCAGCGGAGGAAATATATTTACATACTTGCGTAGCGAAAACATCATAATGCTACTTGGAATGCTCGGAATTCCTTACTTATTCCTATAATCGAAATAGTTGACATTTCTCCGCAGGGGACGCAATATAAAGCAACTATTTCGAGAGCACAATCTAAATTATATCTCGACTACTATAAATTGGTGCGGTGTGCAGACGGGCCAATCTCCGGTGGTTTAATAGTTTCACAAACTGCCTTTATTGATTGTACAATACGCGCATTTCATAATTGCCCTAAGGATAGACGACTATCTGATCTTTAACCGAAAATTGAAACAACGGTCGTTATTGTCCCTCCGATGAACGCACTCGGAGGCAACCACGGACCGATCCGACCATCTATCTAACACGTGGCGGGATTTCGCTTCACATCCACTGTTTTTCAACAGCCTTCCTCTTGTTCCGACTTTTTATCCGCACGCCACATCGGTGGTCTACCTTGAATCATGATCGGCGATGTTGTTCCTTGACGTTTAGTGGCATGAAACGGGCATTGAGCGAGATAACGTTTTACGGGAGAAAGAACGGAGAGGAGGCAGGAGATAAAAAAAAAAAAAAAAAAAACAGCGGCAAAATAGCGTCGCCGCTGTTATGGCCGCGGCACGAACTGTCATCGCATTTCCGCGTGTTTCTTACTACTCGCGTTCCACGACTCCTTTATCCACGGTGACGGTGTAACTCGCGTCGTGGTGTGCGTCGTCGTTCTCGTCGTCGTTGCTCGCCCTTTCTTCTTCTTTCCAATACCGGCGATCGGCCGATCGTTCCGTCGCGTCTTCTCTTTCATTTCTACGTTTACGATGAGCAACGGTCGCGGTAACAGTCGTAGAAATACGACGAGTGGAAGCGTGTTCCATTGATCTACGGCTATGGGTGTGCGTCATCTCGACCACCACGGACTGTTCCGCGAGAAGTCATGTACACGTGTGCGCGACCAAGTGTGTCGCTTATGCAGCTGCAGGTGCACGCAGGAAGAAAGAGCCTGGATCCTCGTTTTCTACCGGCGGAGGCCACGCAGGCCGCCAAAAGAGAGTGCGTCTACCGTGGCTTATTACGACATTACTCGCGTTCTGCATCCCTCGCGGTGCGATTGTGCTCGCGGTGCGGGGCAACAGGCCCACCTTCTGCAATGCGCGGTCGCAGCAATTCTGAGATGTATTTTAATTTGTTTCTTCGCGACGTGAGCGCGCCTTTATTCCCTTCCGGCGAATTTATGGGGTGGGTGCTGCGCGTGGCTAATGAACGCTTTACGTTTAATGTAATTAGCATGCGTGGCGCGCAAATGGCAGCGCGGAAAACTGATAGATTGCGATTGGAGTAACTGCGACAACTTTTCAAATTTATAAGCTGCGCATATTTCTTGAGATTAAGAAGATGTTACTCGAACGGATATCAGAAAGAATCAGAATGGAGTCTCTAAAATAAAAAGCTTTCATAAGTTTTTACATTGCAACTTTTAAAACATGCTGTTGATGGCAACTCTATCTCTATTTTATGACTTGTAACTTTTACTTTATTTCAAATGTTTACTAGCATCTTTCGTTTATAAAAAATGTCGTGTGAATAAATTAAATCGGAAGGTAAATTTAGAAAGATAGCTAAAGTAAATTTTAAATTTAATTTATTCTTCAATTTCGTTATTCTTAGGAATATTATAATTGTTATTATACATTAATGATGAAATTTAGAATAAAATTTGTATACCTAATATGTACATATGTACATATGTATATGTATGTACGTATGTACATATGTATATGTATGTACGTATGTATGTATGTATGTATGTATGTACGTATGTATGTATGTATGTATGTATGTATGTATGTACGTACGTACGTACGTACGTACGTACGTATGTATGTATGTATGTATGTATGTATGTATGTATGTATGTATGTATGTATGTATGTATGTATGTATGTATGTATGTATGTATGTATGTATGTATGTATGTATGTATGTATGTATGTATGTATGTATGTATGTATGTTGTATGTATATATGCATGTATACATAAATGTATCTGTGTATATGTATATGTATATGTACATATGCGTGAACGTTTTCGTCGGAATTCGCTCGTCAGTTCAGCATCCCCTTAATAATATTACTATCAGTAAATGATATCAATAATATGATACTTTATAATGAAAGAATTTTGGAATTGGTTTAAGAGAGTATTTAAAAAAAAAAGAGAAATTTAAATTTTGCCAGAATATTTATAAAACTTTTTAAACGTATTTAACTGTACTTTAAAAACTTCTTGTAACGATGTTGGTAATGTACGAGATAAAAAGGCGAGTCCATGTTGATCGCAGATGCTAATTAATTGACATAGAGATTCGTGTATAGCCATCTGCAACAGAAAAAATATATATAATAAAAATAATTAATAAAATAAAATAACAATTTAATAAGATAACAAGTAACAGCATATAAAGATATTACCTTAACATAAGAGGGTATAGTGCCTTCCACAATTAATTGCAAAAGATCCGCAATTACATACGGACCCAGTCGTATCATATCTTTCTTTAATTTTACCAGCATGCTTGTAAATCTGTTAAAAAAATATTTATTTTTTTAACTAATTAATTTGATCAATAAATTTTATCAAAATCAATATTTAATATATTAAAATTTTATCTAATTGAACTTACTTTGTAACATCGAGTGCGAAACATCTAAATCGATGTTCGTCAAATTTATCAGTTATATTTTTTGACGCATGGACAATGATATTTACTGTATGTCTATACAATAATAATAAATTAGGCAATCTATCTATTATCAAGTCTGTTTTGACCTTTATTAAAGTTCTGCATATAGCAAGCACGTCTTCGCATGATGATATATTTGCTTCGTCGAGCGATTTTAAACTGATCAGTGTAATAAGATCAATTGTAATATCAGGAATAAGTAAGTGCTTGGCACTGATTATATCGTGAGATAAATGCAACAATCCTGACCAATATGCGGTAGGGACATCTAATCTTAATACAGTTTGGAACAAATTGTTGATTACATTTAAACGCATCTTGTTACGTTTAACATTCATATCTGTCTTCATTATACTGCTCCAAACAACAAACAGATTTGTCCATTCTGTTTCATTTTTTTGTATCAAACTATTGATCTATAAAAAAAATCTATATGAAAAAGGAATATACATAGATATTATTAATGGTTATTATGAATATACTGATATACCGTTTGATCTTGCAATAGTTTCAAAAGTTCATAAAATTCTTTTAACTCGTTAGACACTAATAAAAGTTCAATCAAATTCTTGTACGGATGTTTCAGCATCACAAACCATAAGTTTTTGATGATCGTATGAATTTCAAACATTTTGCGATGTTGTAAAACAATAATCGATAATAATATACCTTGTTGTAATAATTTGCTATTTGTTTTGCTTGAATTTTCTGTTATCTGTAAAAGAAATTTGTTGTTGAATTATTTGAATATTTGCATAAATTTAACATGTATACTTCTATATTAGGGAAGAGAAGGCTTCAAAGGGAATGATTTAAAATATCGCATGTAAATATAATTCTTTCTATGTTATTTACCGCGAATATATTTCTGAGAGTTACTTCAGTCAATTGTTTCAAAGGGTCAGTAATTTTTCCAGTTTGAAACTTTACTTTTAACACTGCTGTTAAACATCTTACGTCAAAATCACTATTTATATCTTCAGGTAATATTTTTAAAATGGCTTTGGCTAATTTTTTCTCTGCTTTCCTAAAAATAACTTTTTGTTCGGTATCCAATTTTGATCTGACGGCATCCATGCATTCCAAAATAATGCACATAATTTCTTTGTGTTGATCACAAACTTTTACGAAACTCTTTAAAGTAGCATACGTTTTCACATTCCGAAGAGAGAACTCGCAAGCCTTTGAAAATACTTTATTTTGTGATAACTGATTTACTAATATTTTTGGTTCTATATATTGAAATACGTCAATTCCAGCTTTTTCGAGTAAATCTAGATAATAATTTTTATTAGTGTTTTTATTAGAGATTTCTATATACAAATAAACTAAAAAATTAAGTAGATAAATAAACAAAGATAAATAAAAAAATAAATTACCTGAAAATATCATGTTGCATAATCCTGATACTTTGTCATTTGTTTCATATTTCCTACTAATAGAATACACAACCAGAAATATCAATATTTTTACATTAGAACTGAAATACATCGTCGGTAAATGGAGAAATATTTCTAAATATAATTCAATTTTTAAAGAAATTGTGTTTGTCATTTGCAACCAATGTTCTTGTGATATTTGTTCTTTTAGAATTTGTAAGATTTCTAATAATTTGTTGTTATACTCATTTTCCATCAATAGCTTCTGAAATTTTATTGAATTAATAAGAATAAAAAGATAGGATTATTTTCAAATATTAATTTAAGAATTTTAAATTTCCAGGCATTGAGAATTATGTATATTACTTACAGCACTAATATGTTCCGTAATGGGCAATGAAAAGCTTTGTCCTATCTGGATAAAAATATGACTTAAAAGATACATTATAAAGCGTCTATTTTCTTGAAGATACTCTTTATCCAATATATGAAGCCAATCATGAAAATTTTTTTCACTTGATGTTATATCCACTAATAATAAATATGTCACTTTTGATATTTCTTTGTCATGTAACAAAGAAAGCATAGTTGTGTCATGCTTCAAAATAGTGCTCCAGGAATATTCAAGGCCATCTATTAAACCATGAAGTTTAATTGGTTTATTTGATATTTCTATTTTTAGTCGATATAAAATAAGTTTATTCTGAAATTAAGAATGTGTCCAATTAAAAATGTGTTTAAAAAAATACTCCATTTTCAAAACTGAACATGTATTATGATCGAAATATATTTTTTATAAATAAAAAAAATTTGTAAAGAGAGATACCATGATATTTTTGCAATTATCTTCTCCAAAATTAGTAATTCTTTGAATCAATTGTTGCCAAGGATCATCCAGAATTGGAAATGGTAGTTTCTTTGTAACAGGATCTTTCAATATATAATATTTAAACATACTTTGTATTTCGCTCAAAGATTGCACTGCACTTAGCAATATTATAATAACAGTTTTGTTATGATTCAAGCACAATGCCTTGTTTATCAATAACGACAGTGCATTTCCTATTTCATCTAGACCATTGACAAATTTCTCATGAGCAGATAATGTTCTGGTATATTCGAAAACCTGCATACCTTCAAAAAGTATGGTGAGTAGTTCTACTGTTACCTTTAATAATAATATATTTTACCTGTAATTTGTATTAAAGAAAAAAGATATAATTCTTATTAATATTATATGTAATTTTTTCTACATTATTAAATTAACTATTATTCAATGCTGCAAATGTAAGATACTTACATGAAGTATTAGATTGCAATAACTCTGCACAATCAGTATTTAAATAATATACTAATGTTCTTATAGTTGTTATTGTCTGTGAACTGGTAAAGTTGCTAATTGTTTTCATCAGTTTGATTCTAAATTCATCCAAAAAAAATGTAGTATCTTCTTTATATGTTTTCTTTATTGTAGTTTGCTGCTTCAGTGATGTTAACAATTGCGAGATAAATTTTTGTTCTCGTCTTAATTTCGTGCTAGCATGTAGAATTGCAATTAACAAGTTTGTATGATAAACAGTTTGTTCTTTTATAAGTATTTTATTTAAGATATCCGAGATATTATTCTCTATTAAAACCGGATTGATATATGAAAGTTGAATGAGTATTCCATAATGCGCAGATATCATATTATCATGTGTTAAAATGTTATTTATAAGATTTTGGAAATACTCGGTCAATGTGATACCTTCCACAGTGTTATCAAAATTGAATATTATATCATTTAGTAATTTAAGGAAAGAGTCTAAAATTTCCCATTTATATTTTCCAGAAGAGTTAATTAGATTTCTGAAGAATACATCCAACAAAATAGGATCTGATTTGTAAGTACCTATTATAGAACGAAAAATAAACTGGTATGTCAGAAGATTACATCGAAGACTTGATGTCTCTACATGTTTAGATAATATACAAAACAAGTCTGATAACATTGATTGATTTGATTCTTCAGTTTCTTTAGTCTGCACAGATCTGTTTTTTCCTAGCAATAGCCGCTGGATACATTTGTAGACTGCTACACCAAGCCTATTTGTATTATCCATATTTGTATGATCGACTAAGCTACAAACAAGATATAAAATATCTTGTATAAAAATTGACCTTAGTTCATCTTTTGTAAGGATCATCTGTTTATATATTTGCATGAGACTTTCAAGTATGTCTATTACAGTGTCATTTTCTAAAGGTGACAATTTACATGGTTCAGATAGCTCATTAAAATCTTCTTGCATTAGATCGCTATAATGTTTTGAAATATTGTTAAGTAGAGTCTTTATTAAGAGACCTAGAATTTTTGGCTTGTTTATAAAATATTGTCGCATACTAATATTAGTTAGGACCAAACTGCAACTTTTCAATATATCCTCATATATGTTTTCCATATTACTGTTTAATGCTTGTATAAGCATATCAATTAAACATTGTTTCATGCTAGCCGTAATATTAATATAGACAGATCTCAAACAATTATTCAAAGTCTTCCAACTATGTTCATTCGTAGGACAAATTTTGCATAGCCATTCCAACAATAAATCCTCTTTACGAACAAGTGGCAGATCCTCTGCATAAAATGCAGTTTCTGCTAATTTCAATCGCTTTGGTAAAGGATAGTCATCCGAGTTTAACCGTTTTAATAATTCTGTAATATATAAATTATATCATAAAAATTATTTTTATAAAAATAAAAAATTTATAACAATTATAGTATAAATATCAGGTTATATAGTCACGTGTACATTCATATCTCGGAGATTTATAATATATATACCTCTTGACAGCGCCATTAAGACAATTTATATAATTCCTTGATTAATTTTAACAAATTTATCACACAAACACACACACACACACACATATATATATATATATATAAATATATATTTATAATATTGATATTAACAAACACAGCAGTGATTCGAGCCAACTTTGCACACATTTATCCGCGCGCGTGACAGCAGTGGCTACAAACTACTAGTAAGGGTATGTTCTGAAATCAATCTTGGTCAATCTCAGAAATTGTAGGATTGGAAGAAGTATTGGTTTACTGATGTGTTGTTTTGAAATGAATTTGGTACGCATATCATTGTGATAAAAGTAAAAAAAATCTAAAATAGCTACGGTAATTAGTTTAGTTTTAGACAATTCAGACGATGTTTCGTCCTAAAAATATATATGTTCAAATAGAACAGTTATAAAAATTGAGATTATTTCATCTTTTTGATTTCTAATCTATTTCTAATCTATTTATTCTTCTAAAAATTTAAAAATATAACCTAAGATGCGATTTACTGCTGTACAAATACCTCGAAGTATTTGATTAACCAATCAGAACAAGGAATTTTATAAATTATAAACCAAATTATAAACCAATCAAAAAATGCTTCAAAGCATTACTAGCACTAAGTGGATCGCACCTCCCATAGATCTAAGAATATAGGAATTCGGGAGCCGAATAATTTCCGAGTTAATCCGAATCAACCCGCGATGTGCATGTAGTTCCCTCTTACTGCTAATCTCACTGCTTTCCTTGCCCTAATTAGCAGTGTATGCCCCGTCCATAAGTTTGTTTTTTTATTTCTGAACTGGTTGTACTAGTTCAGAATATGTTTATCTTTCTCTCTTGCACTGGAAGAAGAAAGATAAACTCTGAACTAATGCAGCCAGTTCAGCTAAAAAGAACAGACTCTATATATTCTTAGGTCTATGACACTTCCAATCTGCACAAAAAAACTGCCAATAGTTGTAAAATAAATATTTTGCTGAATGCGATCTTTCTCATAGGCTGCGTTCAGCAGAGAAAGCAGATCAGTGAACGCTCAGTGATTTTTCAATATGATTGGTCCTTGCCTTTAGATCTTCGTTGAATGTAATTGTAGAAACCAATCATAATAAAGAATCACTGAACGCTCACTGATCTGCTTTCTCTGCTTTCTCTGCAGCCATAGGTCGCGTTTAAGAAATGCAACGATTGCACAACGATTGAGTAATTTGTCAAAATAATTAGTCATAATTAGTCTAAATTCAGGGATCTAATAGTAAAGATCACTAACCGCTCACTGATCGCTTTATTTCGCTGAACGTAACCATGGTATTAAAAAACAAGGTGTGCTCGTGAGATAGACCCAATTTGGACCCATTCTGCGCAGATATGGCGTTGGAACAAAATTGCCTTTCATATTGAAAAATAATAGTAAAGTAAACAAATTTGTGACTTCGTGACATGTGATTTGATAATAGAGGATTTAATAAT